TGCTTTGTTTGTTTGCTTGGGGTTTTAATAATAGTATTAAAAGTCTTTGCTCCTGGTGTATTTGACATTGTGCCATTGGTCCATTAGGATTTGGTTGAGTGTTGTGCATTAGTTTTAATTTGCATTCACAGTATGCTCTGTAATAACTCCCTCTGAATTCTAGCAATGGATGCTGTGAATTTGTATTAACAGCAGCGCTGTTTCGTGCAACTGTAGTGAAATTCTTTGCAAAAGAACACTAACACATCATGTCCTTTAGCAAAGGAGATCAGAGTTTCTAAATAACAACAGAGACTTGTCTTAGCAAATTGTTCCTGGGCTAATTGTAATGGAAGGATTTCAGCTTGGATGGAAATCATTGACACAAGTGACTGTTGATGCCAAAAGTTTACATGGTTTTAAAAAGCAATTAGACACAATTATGGAAGAAAAATCCATGAAAGGCAACTAAACACACAGCTAGCTCTGGTTCAAAAATTCCCTGAGCCATTGATTGCTGGAAGATGAGAAAGAGTCCTAGGGATGGATCACTGCACAGTTCTTCCCTAGGACTCTGCTACGGGGCACTGCCTGAAGAACACGCTGTTCTAGTCTGACCCAATATGGCCTTCCTCATGGTGTCACGTTAAGATGTCTTAAGGCTAAGAGCCTTTAGGAAGAAAAGAGAATGGTGAAAAAAAATAATCTCCCTTCAGGTTAACAACTTGAAAGTTTTGGGGTTTCTGCATTAAAATCTTCCTTTGTATCTAGTTGTAATTCAGATCCTCTTGTCCCCATCAGCTTCCTTTGGAAAAGCACACACACCAGACTGCACTACTGTCACAGGCACATCAGTGCCTGCACTGCCTGCAGTTGAGTGAAGGCTTGCACAGTGGCTGGCAGTACAGCACTCCTTTTCAGTAGTTACTGGCCTAGACTTTGCTTATGCTACAAGATGCATTTTTGACAATGAGCATTTTTCTGCCGTGGGGCTGGATCATGATTGCTAAAGAGGAGAAGCTGGTTTCTCACTTAAATTGAATAAAGAAATCTGGTGAAGCACACACAATACACTACTCTGACAAATAAAAAAACATAGTTTACAACAGTGAAAAATTTGTTAATTTTGTGCAGAAGAGGCATGTCCTACCGTAGGTTAGAGCATGGTGCTATTAACACCAAGGTCATGGGTTTGATCCCTGTATGGGCTATTCACTTAAGAGTTGGAGTCGATGATCCTTGTGGGTCCCTTCGAACACAGAATATTCTGTGATTCTGTAAGTATGACATCTTATGAGACTCTGAGAAACTTGAAGATTTCTCCACATGCTCTGATTTTTTTCACCCTGACCTTCTCTGGAGAGTGAACAGTGCCTGACTGGATGAGTCATCACTGGCACACTTGACAAACATCTCAAAACCGGGGTACAAATAGCTACTTTTAAATACCTAATACTTTAGCTAGTTTCATGTAGATCTTAACAGTCTGTTTGCTAGCTGAATTTAGTTATTAAATTATTATTTTAATAAAGCTAATTTGTAAGTTATAGGACACAAAATCCTGCCCTCAAAAAATAGTGAAAAACATTAGGGCAAGAAAAAAAGCTAGCAGCAACAGCCACACAAGGTAGTTATTGGGTTTGGACTTGACTTTTTTTTTGTTTTTGTTTTAATGGGGTATAGAAATGCACTGCTTTTTTCCATTTTTCTTTTGTGAAATGATTGGGACAATTTGATGTCCTGGAGTTTGGCAGACAGCACCTCAGTTCTTGCTGCTTATCATTATGTGGAACCATGTTGCCCAAAACTGTGGGTGGAAATAAATGAAGAAGTTGTGAAACGCAATGAACCAATGACTCTCTTCCAGTTTGAAACACATATGTTTTGGTTTTGTGAGTTTGCTGGAAATTTTTTTGCTAAAAGCACTCACATTAGTGACTACACTAAAAATACCAACATAGTCGTCTCTCACCAACACCTCGCTCTGGGGACTCTCATGCTTTGGCACAACGTGGGACTCCAGCTTCACTGAATATCTTTAGTTTCTTTCTCTTCCTAATTGTAACAGTCATCTCTCCTCCTATTTGCAATAACTAATATCTCTATGACAGCCATTGCTTAGATGAGAAGGCAGCACTAGGAAAGCATTTAATGAACATTAATTGCTTCTTAATATGATTTAGCTGCCGGAAATAAGAAGGCTAAACTAGCTCCATGTGAGCGGCAGCCCTACAGGCACCTCCACCAGACTCCTTTCGAGATGCAATCCTGCCAAATGGGGGGGAGCAGCAAGCTATTCATGGATGATACCCAAAGCTGCATTTTGCTTTTCCAAATTAGCAGCTAAGCAGGGCTGTAAGAATTCAGCAACAAAGTCATGATGATACCACCTGGCTGATTAGTGATCCCTTCCTTCTGTGCAAGCCAGCAATTATCAATTCCCACTGACTTCAGAAGCTAATGGAAATCAGAGGATGGGGGATGCTAAGATGCAGCAGCTTCCAGCTGTGAGGAGGAGAATGAGATGGGACACAGTCTCTGCCTTTTCCTGTGTGGCATCTTTGGCACCTGTGCCTTGATCATTTTGACCCTCAACATTACATTACCTGACCCCATGGCTTCTGACAGGACAACAACATGTAAGAGAAACTTGGTCTTTTTAATCCAGCATTCCTGAATTTGAATCCTGATTTACCATGAATTCTCATCTCTCCCTTTAGCAGGGTCACTTAACCTCTCTACTAAGCTGCTCTGCCAGGAAATTAAGGCTGGTAAAACTTAAAGATACTGTGACAATCAATCAATACATGTTTGTAAATTTGTTGGTAAACAACAAGCACCAAGTGCCAAGTCTAATTTAAACAGATGTGATTTATAATCTTCCCATTTTCTTTGCAAGAACTTTATATGACACAAAGATTAACCTTCTGATCTTGGAAAAAAAATCTTTACTGGTATTATAGACTAGTGTTGGCAGCAGACCTCTAACTTGAAATACGATGTCCTCACTGACATCACTAAATAACCCATGGATTAACTGACAGTGATACTTCAGGACTCATGGGAAAACCGTATTGCAGAGGGAAATAACAGTGACAGAAAAAAACCAAATTGTTTTCTGGACTGTAATTCTTAGTCTTCTTTCATTCAGAGCTGAAACTGAATACCACTAGACTTTCTAAAATGAAAGATTTATTGTTTTACATAGAGTACTTAATGGATATTATGAAATAGTTGATGCTATCTGTGGGTGGGCTGTCCACTAACATAAGTAGAAGCCTTCAAGTTTTACAGAGGTAATGGTGGGATTGAAATTTCTAGTATCTGCTGATCAGTGAACATATAGGTACCTTGAAAAGCTTGACTGTTGGCCCCTACATGTTCATATACAATGCCACCTGGTTTTATAGGATAAGCCTGAAGCAAGCTCTTGGGAAATGGTGATGAAACATCTTCATGTTCAAGACATTTATGATTCACAACAATCACAAACTTTTTCAGGACTTCAGAAGTCTTTGTTCTTCTGTTACAACTAAGTACCTCAAAGCCAAGAAGACAACTGAGCTGTGCTCTCAGGGGGACTGTGCACTGAGCCAGCCAGATGCCTGCTACCCTGGGACACCAGCCAATGGCTTCTAGCTCCCTCCCACCAGCACCCACAGCACTGCTCACCAGTGTGCTAATGAATGCCCCAAAAAATCAGCAGGTATTTCCCTGCATACCCCATCACAGCTGGTGCTGTGTTCTTTCTCTGATGCATCGTAGGCATGCTCCTTCTGTCATATCTAACCACTCACAATATCAAGTCCATGTTCCTTTATTATTAATAAAGCTGCAGCAGTGCTCTTACTTTGAGGCTTTCCAGCCATTGTTTGAGAACAGAAGAGCAGCAGCTCCAAGGCTTAAGGGAATGCTCACAGATACAGAAAACAGGAAGGATAGGGAAGAATCTGTAAAAGCAAGGTGTCAGCTGGCTCATGACTGAAAGGCTGCTGTAAGTCACAGCATCTCTACTACCCACTCTTTTAATAAAGGGGTCTAGTTAATGGCACCTTGTCACCTTACTAGGTTTCTCATACCAAAGGTTGGCTCATAAAAGCAACACTGATTGCACCACGAGGTAGATAGATAAAAGCTTACCACAGAAACATTTCTTTACCAAAACCACTACAAATCATAGACTGGTAGTGTTTTGGGTTGGAAGGGACCTTAGAGATTATCTAGTTCCAAGCCCCTTGCACAGGCAGGAACACCTTCCTCTAGACCAGGTTGCTCAGAGCCCCATCCAACCTGGACTTGAACACCTCCAGGGATGGGGCATCCACAGCTTCTCTGGGCAACCTGTTCCAGCGCTTCAGTACCCTCATAGCAATGACTGTCGCCCTAATATCCAATCTAAACCCTTGTTGTTTAAAGTTGTTTCCCTTTGTCCTGTCACTACAGGCCCTTGTTAAAAAGTCCCTCTCCAGCTTTCTTGTAGGCTCCCTTCAGATACCAGAAGGCTGCAATGAGGTCTCCCCAGAGCCTTCTCCAGGCTGAACATCCCCAACCCTCTCAGTCTGTCTCCATAGCAGAGGTACTCCAGCCCTGCTCTAGTCACTTTCGTGGCCTCCTCTGGATTCGCTCCAACAGGTCCACCTCCTTCTTACCTTGGGGACCCTAGAGTACCCCAGGTGGGGTCACTTTTATACAATGTACGACACGTTGACTACTTTTAATTAAGAGGTATTAAAGTAGCAGCGACTTCACCGCTACTGCCACAGGGCAGGGTTGGCTACCCTTGCCGGGTAAGCCCCGCACGCTGCTCCCACCGCCGCCCGCACGGCGCCCCCTTCCCCTATTAAAGTTCGGGCAGCTTCAACTCCCTCGCACTGCTGGACGAGCGCCTCTCAGCCCTCGCTAACGACAACCGCCCCGATCGCCGCTCCAAAGGCCGCCCCGGTCCTGCTCTCACGCCGCGTAGCTCCCTGAGCCAGGGCAGTGCCGGGCGGGCAGGGCCCCGAGCGGCGGCCGCGGTGTGAGGCGCGGCGGGGCCGATGGCGGCGGCGCAGGGCTGCGGGCGAGGGGCGGAGCGCAGAGACCCTGTGGCTGCCATGGCCGCCACCCCCTCCCCGCAGCCTCCCTTAAATACTATGGGACGGCGGTAGTTGCGGTGGGTGCCGCTGCCGAGCGCACCATGCGGGCTGTCATCGCCTTGGCCGCGGCGCTGGGCAGCCTGCTGCTGGGCGGCTGTCTCCTGCGCCTCGGCGGCCAGCAGCCCCTCCGCGCCAGGTAGGGCGGCCGAGGGGGGCCTCGCCCTCGCTCCGGAGCCGGCCGGGAGGGCGGGAGGAGCGGGATGAGCCCCGCGGGTCGCGGCGGAGCCCGGCGCGGTGCCTCGGCGCGGGCGGTGCTGGGCTCGGGGGTTCGCGGCGTGCGAGCGGGTCGCGGGGAGGACAGCGGCGCCGGTCGCGCCGGGTGATGTTCCATCGCTGGTTCTGACAACTTTGTTTTCCCGTCTCGCTTGCCAGGGGCTGGCAGGAGGAGGAGGCAGGAGTAGCTGCTGTCACGCCGAAAGTGGTGCGAGCCCTCAGGTCCCCCCTGACACCCCTTCCTCAGACAGAGAACAGGTACGAGCTGCCCGCCCGCAGGTGGGTCCATGAGGACGGGTCTGCAGAAGCAGAAATTCACCTTCGCTGCAGTTTATTCTTCCTTTTGTTTTGGCAGCTTAATCAGAGAGAGCGTTAGAGGTTATTAGAGAAAATGACGATTTACTTTTAATTGTAATGAATTACTTGCTCATGGGCTCTCTTAATGACGGCTGTCACTCTGCCGTTAGTTTTGAGCCCAATAAAATGTTGCACAGAGCAGTTTTGTTAACGTACAATGCAAAAGGTTCTTGCTGAATGACATGTTCCAGGTATCTTGTATTCTACTTTCCAGGAAGGTGGAGCTGGAGCTGGGTACTACTGTTACTGGTTTTGTAACGTGAATTTAGTTATAAATACAGATTTCTCATTTAAAATCCATGGAGTGAAGCTGAGACATATGAAGCCTTTTTTGTTTGGTGTGGCATCTTACATCATGAGAGCCCTTTTGCTTGATCCTATGTCTTGATCTTTACATCGGTGTAGATCTTTGCTTTACAGCCTGTTATTTTATACTGTGAAGTTTAATAGGATGATAGCTGGTAAAATTAGCTGTGAAACAAGTCATGTCTTACATGCAAGCGACTGTTGTTTTCATGCTCTTGAGTCTTCACACACTGTAAGAAAACTAATAGTGCAGAAGAGGGTGGCGTAATCCACACACGAAATAATACGATGTAAGTAGTTTGCAAACATTTTTTGCTGTTCTCTTTTATGTTATATGGCCTTTTTAACACTGCATTCGAATAACTACTATTTGTTAATATATATTATGGTCAAAAATACCCGATAAAAATTAGAAAGAACTTAAGAATTGCATATTTCATGGTAACTGTGATGTCCTGGTTGTACCGAAGTCAATGGCAACAGTGCAGTTAACCTTATTGAGACCATCATCTCACCCAGTTTACCCAAATTTGAGTCTGAAACGGCCTTTGGTTTCTCTAAGTGAATGCAAGTGATGTTAGTAACCATTGCAATGTACCCTAACAGTACATTTCTTACACATTGCCAATGAAAGACCCTTTTGCTCCCTGCCTCAAAATGTAGAGCTTTCACAAGCTGTAAGTGAAAGCATCTTTCAAAATTAGAGTGAAACAAAAGGAACAGAAGTATTTGGTAAATTTTGTCTGCTGTTATGTGCTTCTAGCCTGCTTCTCTTTCCTGGGCTCATTTTTCCTCTTCCTTTTTTCTCTTCTTTTCCACTTTTCATAATGTATTGGGTTTTCAGTGTGTACTCAGTTCTTCTTTCTTTTTTTAACTGTCACCCCATTCTTCTCTCCGCTCTGTTTTGGGTTATGTCTGTGGTTTTCCCCTGGCCCATCTTCTCACTCTCTTCCCTGCTAGTTTCTGAGCTACATCTCCTTCCACTCAGCTCTACGAGCTAAACCATGGAGTCAAATTGACTAGAAATGCTGGCAGGGAGCACTTCAGAGAACGGTCTAGCTACTTCCCATCTGCTGTTAGTGCACTCACAAATGGAGCAAAGAAAGTGGAAGCAACACATTCCAAAGAGAGCTGAAAATCCATGGCATGTTTTTAACCTCTGTAATAAAGCAAGTGAGCGTGAGATTTTTAAATACATGTTTTTCCTTATTCTACTTGGAGGATTTTAGCACCAATTTGGATCTATTTTTTATCAACTTGAAACTGTATGACTAAGTTTCTGCAAAAGTTTGACAAGGAAATAGCTCATCAAAAGATGTTGCATTTTACTCTAGCTCCTGTAACTGTAGTGTCTTTGGAGGAATGGCTTGCAGGCTGAATCCAAGAGTGGGTATACTTTCTTACTTGTGTGACTATGCTCAGTAAGCTGGCCTGACAAGAGTTTGTGGTGCATCTTTGGCATATGAGGAAGGACAGAGAGCTGCTAGACTGACCAGGAGCTGTTACTTAATCCAGAGAGCAACTAGACTGGGCAGGAAGCCATGCTGGAGGGGTTTGATCAAGGTAGCAGCTGGACTGGGCCTGGCTAAAGGCCATACTGGAGAGGTTTGATCCAGAGAGCATCTGGACTCGTTCAGGAGATTCAGATGAATCTCTTGGTGATAGAGATGAATGGTCTGGTCGGTAGAAATTAGATCCCAGTTTGCAGTGGGGTTTTGCTGCAGTATCCATGAGTACATCAGAAGGACAGAAGAGTTCCTTGTTGAAATAGATTGTACAAGGGTTAGTGAACTTTTGAATTGCGTGAGGCTACGTTAGTATATTGATGCGTAAAACTGGGAACAATCTATTGGTGCAGACTTCCCAAAGTATGGTTCTCTTAAATTACCCTGATCATTTGAATGGCACTGCTGTGTTATTGACAACAATGTCCTTTTCTGCATAAGAGTAAGAGGATGTGCATGGATGTTTCCAGGAAAGAAAAAAGAAAAAAAATCAAACCTGGTTGTTATCCTTTTTGATCTCTCACTATAAGTAATCTACACAATCTTGACAGTCTCCAGCTAATCTTATCATGATTTCCTTTGCTGTTGGAGGCATATTTGTAACCAGACATCTCCTGAAAAATCTCTAAGGCCCTATTATTCTGTTGCCTCACAGTATTGAAAGCTAATCTGTTCTTTTACTTTGAGTAATTCTTCTAAAAGGATAAAACTGAGAGATGAAAGGATGAAAAGCAAGGAATTGGATCAGACTGTCATAGATATTTAGGCAGCTATTATGCACAGCAGCGTTTAATTAGGTGGTGACCAGGCACCTAAAGTTCTCTGAAGATCTGTGTCTTAGTAAATAACCTTGAAGATCCTCTTACAGGACACTCCTTGCCACTTTGTCTTGTTAAGTGTTAAATAACTTGAGCAATGTGACTGCCCCTAGAGTGTGACGCCCAGTTTTTGTCTTGAATTTATTTCCCAGCCTGTTAGTAGAGTTTTCGTACTGAAAAAAGGCCATTGTTAGTAAGATTTGTCTAATAGTCCCCGGATTTATTAATGAAATCAGTATCATTTACACTGCAATACTATGGTTTTCTGGCAAATTCTCATGTCTGCTTAATCCCACCCTCTCAATTTTTAAGCTGTAACTGCAAGTACAGCTTAAACTTTTTTAAGCCAACAGTACAACCAAAAGAAGTAGTCTTACACTTTTCCCACCTTTAGACACTTGGTCTTCCCTTCCTCCCTCCTTCCCTTCTCAACTGTGTTTGTGCCAGCATATTTGTTTCTGTAGTCACAGCATTAATAGCAAATCAGAAAGCTCAGTACTGCTAGTGCTTATCAGGGGAAGGTGACAACAATAAGAGGAGATAGGTAGTCTTTTCTTTGTTATGAGGCTCAGGGTGTGCTACGTTAAGCGTAGACAGAAATTCTAGCTCCTTTTGTACTGCTGAGAATATATAGCAGATAAATAATGCTAGCTCCTGCAGGGGAAGCGAAAATAATTTTCTCAAGCATTATTTATATATCCTTTACGTACAAGTAACAGTAAGGCAGCAGTACCCTGAAGAAATGACCACCTCTGTTATTCTGTTTGTGTTGCCAGTTACATTCACTTACTATTTCTGTAGCTTGCTCTGGTTTTGCATGTCCGAGGCAAGCACAGTGTAGAGACTGTTGGGGTAATTGAACAGTGGGAGGAAGTGATTGAGAAGCTATGAGTAAACAAGTTAGTATTAATATAGTGTTCCGTAGTGTTGATTTCTCCAATTCCTCTCTTAGCAGCAGATCTTTATGAAGGCCTAGGAAATGAACAGCTATACTTAATTAACTATGCTACAGAGACCTGTACATTCTGTCTCCTGTCAAAATATTGCATTCGGGCACTCAGAAGGGAAAGAAGAGACAGGCTAATACCACTATTATGAACAGTAGCCTAGTGTATTGCACAAATAATTTGCTACAGTTTAGATTAGTCAGCAGTGGTGTTCACTTCACTAATTTTACTGCTGTCTTAGTGTTTTGTTCCTTCATTCTCAAGTGATGCATACAGACATATTTTAGGAGCACATTTTAAACACATGCCTCATGTATTAGTTCTGTCTAAATGAATAGGTGTTCAGTCGAAAGCTGCTGCCAGTACATATTTATGTTCTGACAGTGGTGAAAGGTTTCCCAGACTTTCTGTTTACTTGGTCCAAGTGAAACTGCTCTGTCATTCTGTCTATTGTATGCTATTGTAACATGATTTTAGTGTAAGTACCTTATTCTTTTCACTTTACCCACCATGAGGCTCTGAATGTTGCTTGTCATGTTACCTGCCATGCAGTTTACAGATTTTGTAAATAAAAAGTGTCTGATGTTATGCATAATTCTGGTGAATGCACTGGAGGGTCTTTCAAATAATTTAAAAATGCAACTTGTCTAAAAGACCTGAGTTAGCATTTCTTGGATAAGCAAAACCTCCATGGAAACTCAAACAAGGATAGTAGGATCAGTCTCTTTCACAGTTACTGTGATTAATGTCTCAAGACAAATTCTTACTCCCATGGTTTGATAAAGCCATTTTTATAGTCCATTTCACCAGGAATTTAAATTGTGTATTGCCTTATTAATCAAGGTGTTGTGAATTTTAAAAACATCACTATATTCTTTTCCTCAGATTAATCTGAAAGAGCATCAAAGACAGAACACTTAAAAGCACCCTTCCTAGGGAAGTATGGATTACATTTTTTTAATAGTATTCAACTAATAGATGACGCAATTCAAATATAAATTAGTCTCTTCAAGAGAGAAATTAAGACAGAAGGTATTCACATTCTGGATAGCGTTATTCAGTGCTCCTTTGGTAGAAAAATATGAATATGCAGTTTTGCATACAGAAGTTATCCTTTTTAGCTGGAGGTGCTCATCGGGAACATGTTCAGAGTTCCTGTGCTGCTTCAAACACACAAGAGCAGGAAGCTATAAAAAAGAAAGAACAACACGTAGATCTGCTGGGAGTGGAGTGTATAAAGCCAATGAGTGGGATTATCCCTTACTTTCAGTGTGGACTTATTAGGGAGGTGAAATTCTTGTTGCTTTCACTGCTGCCAGACAGTCCAGTTATGAGCTCTTTGAAAATCTCATCCCACATTCTTTCAGTTGTTTCCAGCTGATTTTGTGGGAATTCTAGAGGAATTCTAGAGGTCTTTCAGTCTTGGGCTTATCTTTATGTTATGGTACAATATACAGCATTGTATTTCCTTTTTCCATCTGCCTTTTTTTTTTTTTTTTTTAATTTCCCTACCATTTATCTATCTTATGCCCATCCCTTTTCCTACTCTGATAACTGTTTGGGGTTGACTTCGGTTTTGTTTTTAAAGAGTTTCCCTTTTCTTTCCCTCCCTGCTTCCCCAGAATTCCATGTTAACTGATGTACCTCTCTGGTAATTCCCTGCACTAAGGCTCCCCATTGTCTCAGGACTGAATGCTATAGGAGCAGCAAAAGGGACCATGGACTTTCCATATAGTTTCTTTATTTCTTATTCTAAAGGTGGATATTATCCTTCTCTTAAAAGAATTTTACAGTTTAAAGATCTGCTGTTTTCCTGAGAATAAGATATAGAATAAAAACATGCTGATAAATTTGGCACATGGTCTTAATCTACTGTGGATTTATTAAAGTACAGATGGTGTACTTTCTGAGTTCCTAGAATTACCATAGGAAGTATGTGGTCCTCAAGCTGTTTGTATATGATTAAAAAAAAACCTGTGTTTTTCAGATTTTGGCCAATGAGGTTGGCTTTGAGAACATCTAAACCCTGAGGAAACGCAACAGAAATTTCTCTGTATCATCAGTTTTATGAGTTCTACCCAACAGAATATAACATGGTTTCTACTTCAAGCTCTCATTTAGCTTAATAATTTGCAAAATTAGTTGAGTGTAGGCTGTTATGTGCACTGTTAGGCATATTATCTGATTTCATTGCAGAAGTTTTAATGCAGTTCTAAGTGTTGAACAAAGACTGTCATCCACTAGCTCAGGTGAATTCGTTTAGTGATAAATGTTGCCTAGCATAATTGTCCTAAGTGATCAGAAATTTAATCTGAGTCTGATGTCTGCACAACCCTGCCATAAATAATGCAGTGGAAGTCTGGACTGCCCCTTGCACACCCCTTTTTATCTGAACGCAAAAAGATTTCACTCGTGAAGCAGAGGCCACTCTGACAGGGAAACAGAAATTTATAGATTTAACTTTTAATGGAATGAGTCATTGTTTTGCATTGTCTTGCATATAAAATGTCTTATTTTCATACCGTTTTCACCATATGAAAAGCACTGAGTAAATTTTGTGTAGAAATAGCCACAGAAGAAGCATTTTGGTTATCTACCATGTGTCTGTATTATATGAATAAACAATTTTGATTAAAATGCCTGTCTGGTTTTCCCTACAGTTGTGTCATTTTAACCAATCTTTACATGTGTCATGGAAAGGGAAGGAAAGACTCCTTGTTCCTTTTTTCTCCCCTTGATAGCTGTAAAAAGTGATAGTGAGGATTTAATGACAAAACATCAGGGATTTATTTTGCTTATTTTTTTTCTCTGAATTCTTCCTTTTAGAATTTTTCAAGTCTTGAAAATGTGTGCATAAAAAAGCAATTACTTATAAAAAAACAAGGCAACTTGCTTGTGTTGATCTTACATATTTGAAAGGACTGTTGAGCAAAGCTTGTATTGGAAAGAATATTTATTCGTAGCTCCACAGACCTCAGGACATAAGTTATTAGGAAGCTGTAAGGGCATGGTAATGATTTTCTGCACCGAGTTGAAACCCACTTCTGAAAGAATGATGGTTCTCCACCAATGCCTGCAAATGCACCTCTCAATGAGCTGATCAGATCTAACAGCCTGCTCTGACTTGGTCATCCCAGCAGGCTTCGTGTGTTAAAGAGGTTCTCCTCTCACCCTCTCAGAAGGACTGGGGCCACTTCTCAAATCAGCATCCAACATCTTAGGTTTTAGTTATAATGAAAGACTTTTTTTTATTTTTTAAGATGCTGTTTAGGCAGCTAAACTCTGCCTGTAGCCATTTCTCTTACTTTGAGCTGCAACTGCAGAATAATCATTTGAGGTTACTGAGTTAAAGGAGCAAGAGAGAGGAAACATGATTTAGTGCTAACTAAATTTGTTTGGTAACTGGAAAGGGCCTCCCATGTTCTTCAGGGCCTACCAGAATCATTCAGACCAAGCTGTAATAAATCTGTGTGCATAAATGGCATAGGCAGAATATTTGCTGGCACTTACTGTGTGAGATCTACTGAGTTGTTAGCTCTGAACTGTGTGCTCTGAGAGCCTTCTGCCATTTTTATGTCACTCCTTGAGAAGGAATTAAATAAGGAGCTGCATGCAAAGGCAGCCAAGGAGCTCTCAGTAGGCAGTGTGAGCCGTTACTATAAAGTCACTGCAGGACTGAAAGGACAGAGATGTATGTTACATTGTCTTACCATTGCCCTCAAAAACGGATGTGCACACTGGATACTTCCTTAGGGGCACTAAGTGTATACTGGGAAAAAGTTCTTGATGGGGGAAAGAGAGGAAGAGAGCTAATTTATCTTCTCTGCAGCCTACATCCCATGTGAATTGCTCCTGTGAAGTGACTGATTCACTATAACGTTTGTGTGCAGTGGAAAGAGGAGGAAAGATGGTTCATTCCTTTTCCTCCCGTCAGCTATGAACATGACAGTCAGTTCAGTAACAAAATAAACAAGCATATGTTCTTCTCTCTCTTCTTCAGTCATTCTTCTCATTTGAAGTGTTGAAAAAGAGAAGGCTCAGAGGGGACCGTATTGATACCTGAAGGGAGAGTGCAAAGAGGATGGATCCAATTTCTTCTTAGAGGTGCTCAGTGACAGAACAGAGACAGTGGGCACCAACTGAAACACAGGAGGTTCCCTCTGAACATCAGGAAACACTTTTTCACTGTGAGAGTCACTGAGCACTGGTACAAGCTGCCCAGGGAGGTTGTGGAGTCCTCATGCTTGGAGATATCCAAAAGCCATCTGGACACAGTCCTGGGCCACTGTCTCTAGATGGCCCTGCCTAAGCAGGAAGATCGGACCAGGTGACCTCCAGAGGTACCTTCCAACCTTGGCCACTCTGTGGCTTGAAATGGTATCTTTCCCAAGTAAGGTCTTCAAAATCAACTTGTCAGAAATCTTGTTGCTAAGTGGTCTCCATGTTTTAAAAGATGAAGGCAATGGAGTTTCGGTCCATTTCACTAAAAGCAGTGATGGTTCAGAAGGAGAGTGCATTGTGTACAAAGTAGGAAGACCCTTTCTCTTTGTGTATGAGTGCCTCTGTACCAAGATGTCTCAGTTCTCTGTTTCTAAGAACAGCATGAGTTCTGTTCTCTCCTGCAGCTCACACCCAGGAGTGAATGACACAGCATCTCTGCCTTCTGCATTTCTACTTCTAGTTTGGACAAACAGGTTGCAACGTCCAAGTGCTCTGTAAATAGTGAATCAGTGGAAAGAAACAAAAACGACAGGGAGGTGGCAGGGAGGAAGATGGTGAGGGGCAAGGAGAATAAAAATACTGGAGGAAAAATCTTCATGATAAATGACAATCCACACAGCAGAAGGCTGATGGCAGAAGAGGGTGATTATATGAGATGGAACATAGATAGGAGGTGAACTGAGGTGAATGCAATAAGACCTTGGTATCTCAGTCATTTAGTAATTTACATCTCAGTCTTTTACCAGGGCTGCCAGAGCATGAGGACCACACAGGAGTTTGGTGAAAATAAGACAGGAATTAAAGATCAGTATCTGGCACTTGCCTTAGTTTCTTTTACAAATATTTACCCTCTCTGTGTAAATAAAGAATAAACAAGGCAGGAAGTATTACACTCAAGTCAGTAAGTTAAGGTCCAAGTACAAAGATCCACTTCACCTGTGGTGTTTTCTGTACATATTATATTGGCTCTGAACATTGCAATTCGTCAGCAACTTTAGGAAATCACATCTGCTTAATATTTTACTAGTGAATATTTCAAATATCTTCAAAACATGATGTACAAGATGCTTCCATTTAATTTATTTTTTTTTAAAATTGCATTTGCTGATTACAGTGTAAAGCACAAAATATAATTCTGACTATGAAATAGGGTTCTTTCAAAGAATTGAATATTTTGTAGTTCCTAGCAGCAAACTCCCCTTTTATAACAAGAGCTTCACAAAAGCAGTCAATAAGATTTGTTTGGTAATGTTTTCAGCTAAATCAACAGTTATTAATCTTATTGTCATAGCAAAGTAAATGTGACAGCATTGTTAGAATATGTTCTCTCTTTTAACGTTTGTTGCTTCATCTCCTACTCCCCTCCCGTTTTTAACAGAACAACTGCTAATAAAAATGGAATTTACCAGTTTGAACAGGCTTCAAAATGTAAGGCAATTCAGGACAACATTTTGTCATCATCTATCAAGAAGAAAAGGTAGGTGTTTTCTGTGCTTTCTGCTTTGTTTGTTTTAAATTGAAGGATAAGAGATTGTCTTTTTTACATAATTACTGATATATTAATCTGGAGCTATACAACAGGAAACTGAAATTGTTCAACCAATATTTTCCTCATTTTTTCTTATACATAGATAAAATTTATTCAAGGTTGGATTTTATTTTTTTTTATTTTAACAACATAAGTCAACAAAATTTCTCCTTGTCAGTTAGCAACATTATATTCCAAATTATTCCCAAAAAGATTGAGTAGAATCTGTGAGGTCACTTTAGAAAGTGATGCTTTAGAGAGTGACAAGAATTTGAGCAGGGCTGATATCAAAGTTGGGGGCTTTTCCATGTCAGAAAAAGACAGAACAAACAGCAAGTTGAAACCCAAAAAATTTTTCTGTTCTCTCCTCACTTTCTCATTCCATTTAAAGATCTTTCACCTGTTTCTGTCACCATACTTACGGCATTCTCTCTTTACTATTACTATTTCTTTATTTATTTCTCCTTTCTCCCCCCTCCATTGTCTGTAATGTCTTCTCCCATGAATATTTCACCTCATCAGCAACACTATCATTAATGTTTTTACTCTCTTGAAAGGTGGAACACCACTATGTTACTGGTGCACTGCTAGTGAGAACTGAAACACAGACTGGCAAACAGAGGTCAAAGAATGCTGAAAACTTGAGTATTTGACACCAGGATAAGGACAACCAGTCAGTGTATTGCCTTCAAAATCCACTTAGCAATATACCAATGCTGTTGTTTACCCCACACATTGCAAAGATGTACAGGGTGCAACAATGGAGATGAGCTCTTCATATCGAGAGCTGAGATTATAGGAGAAACTTTAGAAAGTGCGAGATGTTTATTCTGTGGCTCATGATAAAGGGACTGCACCATTTAATGAGGCAAAAGAGGAATTGGGCAGATAGGGAGAGAAAGGAGAGAAGGAGCAAGGGATTACTTTTTGCCACAAATATTGTAGCTATTGCCCTGCACTGAGAGGAGCTGTAGGGATCTTTGTTGCTTTTTCAAGGTGTGACCCACAGACGTGGTATATAAATGCCTTATATTGCAGTTCTAGACTTTCAGGGATGTTCTGGACACTCTTACCTCTTAAGTTGGCAGAAAGGGAAAAAATTACTAGTTTAAAGGTTGTCAAATGATAGTAAAAAATGCTATGTAAGTGGGAAGTTATTATAGCAGGTATGCGCTGGTGGTGATAAAAAGCCTGAAATAATGAGTTTGGCTGGCAATTTTCCATTTTTATTCTAGAGCAAGCGCTGTGCACACTGTTCTGAGGGTTTTTAAAACTGATAGGTTTTTTTGGTAGTAGTAAAGTATCCAAAGGCAAAATGGATCCTCCCATTCTCTTACATATCCTGCCATTGTATTTCTTGTTTGGTTTTTTTCTTGAAGGTAAGCTGCTAAGTAGGAATATATCCTTTTTTCACTCCTGCTGCTCACTCTTCCTTCTAATTCAAATAGTTTTTTAACAAGTAGATGTTTAGTTTTAGCAAGGAACCAGTGGGGCTGCATCTATCTCTCTCTTCTGACATTTTACCTGTTGTCTCCGTACTATCCTAACACTTTTATCCCTGCTGTTGTCCTACAGATATCTGCCAAAAATCAGAAGATACTTATATTTTGTCATATTTTGTCATTTTTTAACTATGCATAATAATTCCACCTTAGCCACTGCACTTAATGTAGAAGGTCACTGTATACCTGACAAATACTACAGGCAACCAAAAGAAGTGGCTTCCAGATGTTATTTGTCAGTAAGGCTCATACAGTATGAGTTTTCTATGACAGGAAATTATTATAATGGTTGTGGTGCAGGTGGCAAACAAAAACAGGACAAAACATGTTTCATTCACTATTCTCAGCACTGTAATAATTGTCTTGTCCAAGTATTTTTATAGTTCAATTTACCTAAGCCTTTTTATTTTAATAATAAAACCCTTTTAGCATCAGTGAATATGTACTGTAGGCTCCTGGGTGCCAGTGGAAATATATGTATTGTCCCAGCTCTTTAAAACGGATCAGTGGAGAAAACGACTGTCTGGGTTACAGCAGAGCCATGAAATGATTCCCTGATGACCTTCTGGTCTGATTCCATTGGAGGAGTGACTCCCCAAGGCTCCTTTAAAGCAGGAAGTGTTAAAATCGGCTTTCTGAGAAGAAAACAAAGCTTTCTGGGCTGTAAACCTAGCTGCAGCAAATCTCAGAGCTTCAATTTGGGTCTTAAAAAAATTATATATAGGAATATTGTCTGTATTCAAGTAGAGTTCATTTCATGGAAGCCTCATATTGATGTGAGCAGATGCCTTGCAGAGCTGCCACAGTTGGGAGCTTCTGTCCCCCAGGACAGCGTGCTGGGATGTCTCTGCTCCCTGTAGCACTATGCCAGCTGGCAAAGATGAGTTCTGACAGTCTGGAGTGCCTTTGTAAGTCACAAGAGCTAAACTGGATGCACAGGGAGAGCAGCATTCTGACTTGTAAAGACCTGGAAGTGGTGCTTTTCTGGGTGAGCTGGTTAACCTCTGAGCAGGAGTCATTCCATCCAGCAGACGGGAGTGGAAAAGCTGCAGTGTTCTTGCCTTTGTAATTGATGTTCTTATCCTGTGTGCATCTTCTGTTATATGTGTAAGAAGGTCCTTAGTTTCTGACAGTGAGTGCCTGTGTTTCCCATGAGCCCTCAGAAACAGCATTATGGATGACGTTTTCATTTTTCTCCTTACCAAATGTTTCCCTGCAACTTGCTAATAACTTGTCAGTCCATGCAATTTCTTTCTGAGCTGATGGTAATTTTTCTTTTAATTTCTGACTCTGATCTTCATCTTATCAATGTCTGTAGGCTAGACTTTGTTTTTTCTGTATTTTTTTTCTCCTGGATGATGATAGCCTAAGTAACTCTTCATGCTCTGTTATCCTATTAAATTTTGGAATTTTTTCATAATTTCCAGCACCTAAGAGTTATTTGTTGTTTAGCCTTAAGGAATAAAACTAGATGAGTGATTCAACGTCAGAATAGGCTATTTTGGTCCTGTGCTTTTATCTTATCCTCCCCCCACATGCACTCCCTGCCCTGGCTTGTGCTGGTACTGACACTTCTCTGACCTCATGGTGAGTCAATTTAGGTAGCAGCTTCAGCAGGAAAGTAGTTCCATTTTCTCTGGCTGCAGTTCTAAGGCTGATAATGCGACATACCAGCAGGCAGTTGCCAAAATAGGAGGGTCTTGTTCCCAGTTTCTCCACTCCCATTACTTGTTGCTTATACTGGCTGTGGTGTTTGATGGAACCTCTCTTGATCTGGTTTAACACAGTGACTAAGAAGAAAATGTATATGCATATTTTTTCCTTCTATTTTTTTTTTGGTTGGTGGGTGAGTTGGTTGGTTGTTTTTGCTGTGGCAGTAAGTTAAAGTGGCCTATTGAAGCACTTGGCAAGTGCAAAAACTGGCCAAAGGGAAACAGAGGTGGAGTCAAGTAAGTACCAGCTGTGACATAAGGGAGAGAACTGATTTGGAGTTGGATTGGAAAGAGGAAGAATGTACTGCACCAGATCAGATCAGCTACAGCTGCAATGAAACTAGTTTGCTCTTCTCCTGCTTCTGCCCAGTCATTCCTCCTGAGCTGTGCAAGGGCTCAGTAAAATCAGTTTAGTCATAATCATCTAGTTCCTATAAGAGTTTTCTAAGTGTGGAGGATGAAAATCACACATGTTGTCACATATACGAACTTGATCCAGAGACCATTTCTAATGCAGTATAATTTATTTTATTATATTCATATCATTATTATATTGTACTCTTAACAGTATCATTTATTTTTTCCAAATTGGACATGATTTTGCTCAGGGGTAGTTACCTTTAGCAGTTACAATACTTTTGTGAAGGAAACAAAACGGAGATCTGTTTTTTCAAATGTTGAACATAGAGAGGGAGGGAAGCTTTCAGATCATTGACCTGTGCTGCTGCAAGCCACCACAGTCTTCCTTTTTATCAATTCTCATGCTCCATTTAAAAACAAGCAGGGCTTCTTGCCATCCCAGTTCTTGTAAAACTATTCACAATACACACTTGTAAGTTCCAGCTTAAATAAAATAGTAATCATTTGGGTTTGGGTCAACACTAAGATATTTTTGCTAAAATAATACATGGTAGATATTTTATGGAGACTTGAGTACCACAGAATTCTTAGTCATGGCATCCATACCATCTCTTCTTCCCATTCCTCCAGTCCTCCTTATAAGTCAGTTATTGTTTTTTACAAACCCTATTATGAGCCAAGTACAAATGGGAGAATTAGTAACATTTAACCTGAAAGGAAAAAATGTATCCAATCTTTTGACTTATGTGTTATAAAGTATTTCACTTAGGGACAAATTTAAATCTCTTGAAAGGTTTAAAAGGAGCAGAGAGCTCTTTGGTTACATGTAGCAATGTACATTGCTACATGTGCTGCTTGACATAAAATAGCAGATTGTTTTATTTAAGAATAATTTAAAGGAAAACTTCCATCTGTAAATATTGGTCTATGGTTTTAGATGATTGAATTGAGCTTTGGGGACTCTTATAAAGTAAATTAAAGAAAAAGCATAAGAAGTGTGATGTTTCATCTTGACTTGCAAGAACCACTTTTCAAAACATTTTTGAAATTTAAACCACCGAGTACAAGAGTATTTTGTATTATTTTGGGCTTTTGCACTTGAGATGATTTTTAATAACTTCAAGAAATTTATGGTTAATTACTTAAGTTTGAAACCAGTGTACTTTTGAAAGTTTCTGGAAAAGTTCATTAGGACATCACTGCTAAGAAGAGATGTTTAATAGGTCATGCTAATTAAATGAGGATAGTACTGTTAAAAATTACAAAAATAAAATAGGTCATGGAGTTCTAAAAGCAATCTATTATATATGCACCATGCACATTATTATTAATGCATGCATCATTTGAATGTTTTAGAGACTACTTCTAAATATACATACATATAAATTCTACTGTTTGATGTTGTTTCCTTTTTTAGATACTCAGAAGATTATTATCTTCACATAGTTACAAAACTGCAGAACTGCACCTGGATAAGGAGACCAGAAGAATCTACAAAATTCAGGTAATTTTCATTGACTTATGTAGAAAAACTGTTTAATCTAGACTTTTCTAACAAGCCATAAATTTAAATCTTCCCTTTTAAACAGATAATTTTGTATTGCTTTTACTAATTTCTATGATTCTTTTGATGCTGGGACTCTTCTTGTTTGTTGGAATAGAACTGTGCAAACTGAGTAGAAGAACTACATAAATGAAGCAATATCACCTATCTCCACTACTCAAGTAGAATGGATTAAAGTATTTGTGGCACAAAACCTTCAATGTTAAAAAACCCCCAAGCAATAATGTTATTTTGTCCATCTGATATAGCACTCTGGTAAAAGACTGTGTAATAAAGCAGTGTATTTCTTACCCCAAGACTATTGCTTCTATTACAGAAGTGCCCAAGGCACTCATTAGGTTTGATGCTGCATGTCATGGCCCCTGAGCACCTCAGCACGTGGTTACATCTGTCCTTGTTTGGGGTGGCATATAAGTACATGTTCAGTAGGAACAGTGATCCCTGAAAAGCTTAAACTCTCATTCGAAAATGCTGATTTTAAAGAACAGCTTCACTGTGCCATCCCTATTTTCTCCAGGGGAAAAATCTCTATTAATTATATTATTACATGAGTCAGATTTAAAGATTCTGTCATAATCTTTAAAAATTGATGAACTGGCCTACCTTCCAACTCTTTGGAGTTAACTAGCATTAAGAACTTAATATCCCCATGCTCAGCATGATACCTTTAGAAGAAGTAGTTTGGGGGGTGGGAGCAGGGTAAAGGATAACATAAATTGTAACATAAATTGCTGTGTTTCCTGTGTATCATAACTAATAGTGTTTCCCAAAGCTGAGGTAGGAGTATACACAAATTTAAGGTTTTAGAAACTTTGTGTTGACTCAGGCAGGCTTTAGCTGTGCACAAAGATATCAGAGCATGATAAGGAGTTGTAAAGCAACCCATTCTGTTTCAGAATGGACAAACATCTTGCACAGAGTTGACAGAAGGTGAAGCTGCTCTCATCTGCTCATCACTCTCCTACATTTAGGCTTTTTGTTTTCCAATCTGTTTTTTCTTCTCTTCCTTCCAAACAGACCAGCCACCACGTACCAGCTATTTGCTACTGCTTCTATTGTTCTGGATTTATGAATCAATGGCAGAGTAGCCACTCCTTGGTCCAGCTGGACCTCTTCATTTATTGCTTCTGCAATATCCCTTCCACTGTGCTGACTTCTACATCTTCTAGGCCTACTGGAATGAAACATCCAAACCATCATATAAGACTGTTGGATTTGAAGTACAAGATACTTACTGTTCCTCATGTTGTCTTTGGCTTCCAGCAAGGAGTGTGGGTCATAAGTAGTGAAGATGGGTGATACAACCAGTGATCAAACTGGAAATATTCAAAAGTGGAAACTGTGGGCTGCAGTAAGCCACCAAAAAAATGTGGACTGTATGTACATTGAGCTGATCTGTCTAGCTTTAACTTAACTCAAATGCCAAGCAAAAAAACGTATTTTTAAATCCATGGTTCTGCACAGGCTGGACAAACTTGTTACTGATTCCGCATTTCAGGGCTGTGCTGTTATGGTTTCCTTGGGTTTTAACATCCAAATTAGCCGGAGTGTTAGCTAGGTCATAGATACACAACCCATGCTGCAATTCTGATGACAGTACTGTATATTCTTCTGTTCCTGAAATTTGATCTGATTTGATGTCATCCAAGAATTCCATTGGTAGGACCAAGGACTGGTACTTTTGTGTAGGGCATTATGGATGATTGTTTTACAAAAGATGGATACTTTTGTGTAGGTATTTTCTTTCTTTTTCTATCCTCAAACTCTTCACTATTGTTTTTTGGAAATAGGATATTAAAATTTTGCAGTTGTCCTTCATCCCAGACCATACTGGAGACTTTCAAGGCTCTTAGCAGTTGGTCAATAGAGGCTTTAAAACAAAGGTTTAAAAAATAAAAACATTTAAAATTTACTGTCTAAATCTGTATACAGTCCATGCTTACAGCATTCCCAAACTTATTTATCAGACGTAAGCCCAAGAGCCTGGAACTAGGTTTGCAAGGACACTTCAGATGAGAAATGATGCATTGACAGAGCTCTGTGGGGAACAAAGTTTCTAGAATTGTGGTGAAATAAATGAATTAATAATCCATGGGAAGTACATCTCTTTCTTTTTCTAACTTACCCTCCTGTTAGTAATAACTGTATAATGCAAATATTATACAGTTCTAGAAATTTCATTAAGTAGATAGATAAACACACCCATTTTCAGAAGAGGAAATTAATCTCAGAGGGGCTGTGCAGCAGGGATCAGATACTACAGCCAGCCACCTTTAGGAGGGGAACTTGAGGCTGCCTGTGTCACATTAGGCACCTGTCAGTGCCACCAGAAGTCTGCCTGCTGACTAGACTGCAGAGAAGCTGCTTGACTTCTTTTCCTGTTTACCCATCTGTTAAATGGAGTGAACACTTAGATGCTTCTCGGGCATGGTGTCAATTTTATGACATCTCTCTATTTTCCTGAAGTTCTGAAGGACACACATGCATATTTATAAGGGATTTAATGTCTTATGCTTCTGGGCATAAACTAACCTCTAATTAATAAGGTTCAAGAGCAGCTTCTCCTGGGGTAGCCAATTTTTCAGAGAAGCTTTCCTGTGTTTTCCTTTGCAGCTTTTGGCTGCCATCACACTGCTAGTGTAGTGAAGGAATATGTGATCTAAGCCAATAACTCTTATGTTCCTAGAAGACAGCACAGTGTACCAGTGAGTACACATCCATCCTCTTTGTAAGCTGCTCTCCCAGCAAATCCAGGCCAAATAAAAGAATATGAATTAGAAGTGCAGTGCAGGAAAGAAATACTTGTCTTTTTATTCGGCAAAAATGTTACAGCTGACAGGCGTACCTTGCACAAAGTAGTGTTTTTGCCAGCTCACTGTTGGAGAGAAGAGTGCTGGATCCTAGGTCGACCCTCTACTACTTTTATCATGCAGCTGTGCAAACTGTGTCCATTTTTTGTTAGAGAGCTGACCTTTTCCAAATGGCTTCCTCCAAAGCTGCTTTGCTCTGCAGGTGGCTAGATTACTATTTGGCAATGGTCAGTGGTTCTTGACAGCTACGTGATATTTACACATGCATTTCTCAAAATCAAGAAGAACCAGTAGGCAAGTACAAGCCATGATGTTCTCTTTGATACCTCTCATATCCATGGGCACTCTTCTCTGGTCGATTTTTGTCCAGCCTCTGTCAGGAAACCAGTACCCTGGCCCTTCAGTTTAGTGTCTGTAGTAGTGACATCAGCATTGCCAGATTTAGGCTGCCCTCAGAGGAGCAAGTGCAAGCACTTGGTTCATTGCTCTTGAAATTTAGTTAAGATTTATTGTGCCCCACAGTAGCATCTGTTAGTCATTGCTAAAGAGGTTTTATCTAGCTTCACAATAGAAGCTAGTAAAGGTGATGAACTGGAAGTGGTGTAAATAGCATCCTACTAACTGTGATTTAGGGAAAATCTTCTCCAACATTTAGTGGTACGGACATATAGAAAACTGGTTTTTTATTCAGACTTTTTCTTTATGAAATTCACTTTCTTTGGTTCTTTTTTAAAATTTTTTTCTTGTTCTTTATGGCTCTACACATCTCCACATTATGCATTTGTTTCTAAGTCAACCTCAAGTCCAGTCTTCCTCCCTTTTCAATTTTATATCAGCTCCGACTTGTATTAGACAGAGCAAGTCCTTGGATTTCTTGGTTCTGAGAGAGAGACTTGGTAGAAACTTGGAAAGGTAGGGAAAATAAGCTCACAGCTGCCTGGAAGTGTCATCCTTAAAACTCCATGAAAAAAAGCCATGCTGGGTAGCTTCCTCTGCAAAGGCTCTTCTAGCCACACTCAGTAGAGTCTCAGGTTCCCTAGGTAACCTGAATATTAATTATTATATTAGTATTCTTCGAAGGATTTCCACTTAAAAGAAATGTTTCATTAGGGTAACAAATTACAGAGCACGATTAGGTGCAAGCTGTAATCGTCTTTTACACCTCACGTCTCTTTGCTTTACAGACTTTTAAGCTTGATTTATTCTCATTTGGGCTCTACACCTATGGTGCCAAATAATCTACAGGTTTTTAAAACAGTTGTGACTCCTGTTTTTGCAGAAAGCTACAAAGAGTTAAAACAGCCCTCAAAATGAGGGGAGGAAGGATATGGAGAAAGAAAGGCTGTGCAGATGCTGTGTTTCAGAGAAGCCTCTGGGCATTGTATTGTCCTGAGCTTGAAGCCTGGCAAAGCAATGCAACAGTTCCTCAGGGGTGGTATCACACTGGAATAGCCTTGTGTGAACTGTGGGTACTGGGCCCTCTCCCCGGGAAAGACCACTCCAGACATCTGATAATGAAGGGAGAAGGAAATTCTCCTTATTTGCATCTGATAATGAAGGGAGAAGGAAATTCCTAGACGTAAAATACAGTTGTAAAATTCCTGATGTTACACTGCAGTTTAGCTGGCACACTGCTTCCCTCTGCCCTCATGCAAATATTTTTTACTTTTTTTAAAAAGAAAAAACATTGCTACTTTCAGAAAAAGAACCCAAACTCTTAAAAAGGCTAGTTAAAAGATCAACCCATTTTCTTAGTCCTGTTATTTTTCCTCTTGCTTTTTGTTCCCCTTGACCTCTATTACCCTTTTCCCACTTCAATATCTCTTCTCAAAAGTGTGTGTTAAACATTCCTGCAGATTAAAAAAACCCCAATCCTTCTTGAAGAGATTAATTTGTCGCGAGCTATACTCTAACCTATATAACAGCATTGCTTATCACATCTGTGTACTGCCATGAACCCCAGTTGAAATACAAATAAAATACCCTGCAAGGTCAATTTATGCTTACATAAGCTCACACCACCACATAATCAATAGCTTTCCTAACACTAAACAGATCAATAATTCCACTGTAATCTCTGAAATCTTCCAGTATACAGGCATATACAGAACTCTGAGACTACAGTGTGGT